AAATGGTCTGATTGCTCACGTTTTCATACTAAATTAGATCTCATGCTATGTACTTCTACAGCAATGTTAATTTTATTTCAGTTATAATTATCCCCCAATACTCATGCGAGTCAGCATTGGCAATTCAATAGCAGCTTTTCCATCTGCTTTATTGGTGGCGAGTATTTGTAAGTTGCCAAGTGACCATAGGGGAAATGCCAGGACATGAGACTTGTAATCTCTAGGTTGGCAGGTCGATTGTGGCACAGCAAAACTTATTTTGTCAATGATTATTTTCCTCGGATTAACTTACCTTATTTCATTTGTTTCAACCTTTTTAGAGCTTATTTTTGCCGTTTTTTTCACTAGTGTTTACAAAGTGCATTCGCTTCTCTTTTTGGCCATATTTCATTTGTTCCACTTACCTTTGAAATAAAATAACATAAAATAGATAAGTTTGGAGAAAAATGTTTTACGATTTATTAGTTTTTCTTTTGACATTTTTAAATCACTCTGTTAAGAACATTTTGCGATACCTCTACGACAATGCGCTCTCCTTATTTTTTGAAAGAAGATTCAAAATAGTTACATCCAGTTGTTGCTGAACCATTGCTCCTGATTTCTTCAACTCAGATATTTGGTTCAAATACACGCCGCAACTTTGGTTAAGCAACTCAATGCTATTTTTGGCTTCTCGGGCTTTGTGTCTGTTTGTATGGGCTTTGTTTTTTTCTCTATATACTTCAAGTTCTTCATCTAACTCGCTGTTACTTGCCGGTTTAAACGATAGTAATTAGGTATTTTCTTTTTAAAAAAATAGCAAATTGTCGTTCCGAAAAAAAAACATTTCAAAAATCAGGATCTACCGTTTTTCTGATATTTTTTGTCAGCTTAGTTACCACAGCGCTGATTTTTCCTGTAATTTTATCAATTTCCACCATAAAATATCGTTTTGATTTATGTTATTCAAAATTAATCACACCCGAATTTGTATATTTTCCTTAGTATTTTTATCGCCTAGATCACCTGAAACTGCGGTCTTTGAAAGAAAAATAGATTTTAAAATTTTTCATGTTTCTTGAGGGTGGGAGTTAAAAACTTCGAGTATCGAAACTTTTAGCTCAAAAAATTTTAAAACTATTATTTCATTTTCGGCTCAATTGGTGTCTTCTCAAGTATTGTCTGCTTAGTTGTCGCTTGATAAACTTTCCAGATTATGTTTTGAACGCTGATGATTGTGTCTTTTGACAAGTTTTCTTCAAATTGAACACGGTCGAGATAAACTGATGAATTTCTGTGGATGTAATTTTTTCGACATTTTGTAATTGATTTAATATCTTTTTCTGTTCGCTAGCATTCAATGTCTTGTTTTTGTGGTATCACTAGGGGTGCGAAGCTTCGCTTTGCCTTTGTGTCATTTTCGGTTTTAGTTATGAACAAACAAATAGCTACGACAGTCCACCTTTGGAAATTGACAGCTCATTTATCACTTCAACGCAGAAGGGTGTAACTGTTACACATGTGAAAAATTTTAACCCTTTTGTGTTGAGGTAATAAACAAGCAGTCAAGTTTCAAAGATGGAATTGGAAATTGCCTTAAGACCATAAAGTCTATCAATAGTTAGTTTGTTAAAGGTTAGTTATTAAAGGTTAGTTATGATACGTTCCCGATTTTTTATTGATTAGTTTACGGTTATCTTTCTGTTTTTTGGAAGTTTTTTTGTGGAAATCAGTTTTAAAAAGCTCACAAAACTTTTAAAAGTTTTGAAATGCTTAAAGCACCTAGAACATCCATAAGAAAAGTACGAGCCAAGTTTTTTCTGCCTACCACATTTAACATTTTTGAGAAAATGAAATGCTACGTTTTTCAGTGCTTGCTAAAAATTAACTCTGGATTTGTGGTTTGAGCTATGGAGACAGTAAAACTACTGTTTTTGATGCTGATCGCTTTAAAACTACAGAGAAAAAAAAACAATTTTTAAATCGTTTTTTATACTTGCGAATGTGAATTAAGTGTCAAGCACAAGGGAGTTGTAAGGAGCTCCAATCTACCGTGACATGAACTATCGTAGAGAATAAAGATTGGTTTCAAAATGGGACCCTATCAGTAATGATTTGGACTCGAAAGCTTCTTAGACTGATATACTGCTGCGGAAATTGAAAACCAAGATTCAGTCACATTGATTTAATATTATTTTAATAGTACTATTCAAAATAGTACTTGTTTCAAATAGCAATCGGTTTCTCTTTTTATTATTTGAAACCGGTTGCTATGTAAGTTGCACATATTATTCCTACAACAGTAATTTCAAAATAAAACAATATAAAACGACATAAAAACTTGTTTTTGATTAACTGTACAATTCCCCCCTCCCCCAAAATTGATTTAGGGGTGAGAAAATACGGATTTTTCTGGAAACAACTTTGAGTATACCTAAGATTTATAAAAAAAATTTAACAGTTTGTATAGAGAAAATTGATCAAAAATACGTTAGCTTATGTTATTTACAGCTTTAAAAGTGACAACCAATTTTATGTGCGCGTTGAATCGAAATCCATACATTAAACTCAATTAATTTTAAATTTAAATACGTTGCTAGGGGGAAGTTCTACGGTTGGTCACTTAGGGGGGAGATTGTACGGTTGATCCATTGTTTTCGATATTTTTTCTCATTTCTGAAAAAAGAAAATTTGTTGTCCATTTTGTTTTTTAACACTGAAGGCAAAGGGATACAAACTTAGCCAAATTATGAAACTTGTTGGACCAAGTTGGGACCAGGTTTTTCTGAAAATCAGTGAAAAGTTGAATGTGTTTCTTTTTTCCTTATGAAACATCACTTTTTGCAGTACAGCTGCTCATTGAAGACTCCGTTGGTTCAATTTTAAGTCAAGCCCGGGCCTGTTTTTCTGCCTCAAAAAATTTAGCCATCATTTGTATGCCGATTTTGGTCGGCTTCGATACTTCAATGCGGAATTTTGAAAAATCAGTTCTGAATTTTTTACTACGTCATCTTAACCATTTCGATTAGCAAGGATATTGCAACGATTTACTAGACTTTTTCCCGTTAAAACTTTGTTCACAGAATGGTGGATCTTAACAGAGTTGTCGAAACGTGCTTTAAAATCGAAACGTATTTAAAAATCGAAACGTGCTTTAAAATCAAAACGTGCTTTAAAATTGAAACATAATCGTGCATTTACATAGCGCATACTTGTTGTAGAGGTCACTTTTTGAGTTGTCATATACAGGTATGAAAATCGAGTCCTGGCCGGATCTTGTTTTCACGCTTTATTTTTTTTTGGGAAAAGGCCTTCCTTTTTTTGGAAAATCACGGGCGATTTTGCAGATTGTGACCGTTCAGTAGCGATGCTGTCTTTGACTTATTCGGAATGTGGAATGATTTGGTTTTTTTCTGGACATTATTTTATTATGTTTTGTCTGAGAGATAACTTCGTCAGAAGCTAAACTTGCTGCGCATGATTTTGTTTTGCCGTTTCCAGGAATTGTTTGGAATTTTTTTGTATTTTTTTTAAATCTCGTTATCGCATGTCTAAAAACGCAAAACAAGCTGCCAGGACCTGTTTTTTTTTAAACGGAAAAAATTGCTTCTAAGCAAAATTATCGGCCTATTGTTTGTTTGCGTATGTTTTTTCGGCTTATTTGCCACACATGGGTTTTCCTGTACTGTAAGTGATTTTCGTTGTAATTGAAAGTGTTTCGAATTTATTCCTGTGCGTTATAAATTTTTTAAGTCTGATTTTTTGTAATTTCCTTCTGTTTTTTTCTGTATTAAAAAGATTTTCATTATCTTGTGTGTTTTCGGAGGGAGCCAGTGTAAAAAAAAATTAGATTTTATTTAAGGTGGGGTTCGTAAAGTTTAGTTATTTAAAAGTTTCTGAATACTTACTTAACGCCGGTGATTGTGTTTCTGGACGTGTTTATCACAAATTAAACAACATCATTGCAAACAAAACACTGAAATTTTTCGACATTTTCCGACTTAGCGGCTTTTCTTTGATTTTCTGTCTGCTAGCGTGCAATGCTATGTTTGTGTAAAATCGCAAGTGTTTAGAAACTCCTCTTTGCCTCTGGGTTGTAATTTCATATGAATTCTGTTTTGTCTTTTTTTATAAAAACCAACAGATAAAATTGAAAAAATAAGCTTTTGTCAAGTTTTTTTGAAGTTTTTTTGTCAAGATCACTCTGGTGGGCACATTCGGTGCCTATTGCACCTCAAGCATGTACTCTTGTTCCTATTTATTGTTGAAACTCTATGAGCTTTCAGGTCATCTATTTTTCTTGGAAATAGGAAAGTTGTTTCAAAAACAAGTTAATCGTTACACTTGCGAGCTTAAGAGCGTAGTGTATTAGTACGAACTTTCTTTTTTTTTTCAAACCAACTCGCAAAAAAAGTGTTCACTTATTTGGTGGCATTTTTGCTATAGTCACGACTTGTAGCATTGGAAGTTTCATACCATCTGTTCTCTGCTTCAGTTGTGGCTAGTGTTTGTTGTTTGTTAAGCGTCCGTGGCTGAGTATATAGTATTTCTACTTTTTCTTATTTAACTTTATAGAGTTGCTTTTTGTCGTTTTCTCGCTAGTATTTTCGAAGCGCAGTTTCGCCTCTGTGTAGAAAGTCTGGTTCAATTTGTGTGAGTGGCGTTAAAGAAAGATTTTAAAGCCTTTGTTGTCATCAGAAAGGGCATGTATTGAAACTGTGTTGACAATTGTCTTATCGTGTTTTATAACTTGTTTTCGGTCATTTATCCATTTTTTATTGCTAGTTTTGAAAGGCTAGTTCTTGCGGCATGCTGTAAATTTAGTCTTTTAAAAGGCAGACGCTTCTTGTTCAGTACAAGATTCAACTGGTTCGTTAAACTCTAACAGTTGTCTAAATCCAGCTGGGTTTTGTTTGTCAATGTTTTCCCACGAGTTCGTTTCTCGTTGTTTTGTTGGGTAACTTTTAGTTTTGTTTGTGGCCTGTCTTTCAGATGAGGACTGCCACGGATCTGTGTTTTAGCCATCTTGTAATGGCCGGCAGAGAAAATCGTCAACATCACATGAGCACCGCGAACAGTCTTCGAGTAAACCAGATCACAAACATCGTCAGTTCAAAAGAGAAGATTCGACCAGTCGTCACGAAGACGATGCAACAACTAGCAACGCCGACACCCAAGACGAAACTTCGAAGTCATCTTTTGTGACGCCAGAGAGGGCAGGTCATTTCAGAGGGTATTCCAGGTACAACGAAAGTGGGAGATCTTCAGTTGATAGAGATGATGAGACGACCAGTAGATTCGGAAGTGGTCATTCAGAACGTGGAGGAAAGTTCCAGGCGAATCCGGCCCGACTTTTCATGGAATGGAGAGGCGTTAGTTTCTTATTACTGTGTTTTTTGCTAATTGGAGGCAATGCATTAATGATTTTGTGACACGTGATGGTAGCTGTAGCTATTTAAAGTTGAAATGTTATTAGTCTCAAAAGGAAAAGGTAAGAGTTATTTCTATCTTCTTCGTCTTTTCTGTACTTGTCAATTTTCTATCACCGATTGTTTAGATCTATAACCATTATTGAAATAAGTGTACATGTACAATCATACTTGGCATTAATAGTTCATAGCCAAAAGCAGCAGATTATGTTTAACTGAAATCACATTTATGATGAGAAAACTGCTAGATTGTCATGTGTCGCAGTGAAAAAATGACGTAATGTACAATGTTTCAAATTGATACACATCTACTTATTTTCAGTTCTACACGAAAGTAAAATGTTCTGTGTTTGGTTTTTTCTTATGTTTTTCGAATGATTGAGGATACGAGTTCTGGCTGATTTTTTTTTATTCGTCACATTGAAAATAACGTTATAAAATAAGCGATCTTGTCAACCTCCCCTCCTCTGCCAACGCTATTTAACCCTGTTTTGAAAGAAATATTCATTGCCTAGAAAAAGGTCGAAAAAATGTTCGAATTTTTTTTTTTGAAAATCCGCTCCACCCTTCAAGAAAATCCTAGATCCGCCCCCTGACTGGGTTCATTTTTCGTATATGCTTAACTGTTGCTTCTTAATAGGAACGGAAGTTTTTGTTTGCTAATGGGCACACGTGTTTATCGCTACGCCCCCATTGACCCGATGTAAATTGGTACTGTTTTGGGAGGCATTACCAATTTATATCAGTTAGGTATTAATACAACTCCCAAAACGAAAAGTAAGGCCCGTAACCCTAAATAAGAAAGCAGTCGCATAAGCGCCAAAACTTGTTCATTTGGTCGACAACTTTAGGTGGACTATTTTGTGACAATATTTATATCGTTTGAGTATCCAGGTAACTGTAGTGCTTTTTTAGAATTGCTTGAATTCTTTCCTGTCGCCTGTTTAGAAAAGGAGTTCGGTTTATCGGCGTGTCAAAGTGGTGGAGGTGGAGCCGGAAGTTGACATCTGTCACAAACTCCTCTACAGATTCAAGAACCTCAACCCGCTCTCCTACTTCATAAACGTCTCAGACGTAAGTCGTGCGTATCTTCACATCGTAGACTGAAATGTGTCTGAATGGAAGAGAGATCGATCGAAATAATATAGATTCTTGAACGAGTATGAGCAATGAGTTGATTTATGGAGAAAACTCAAAACAAAGACGTGTAACTTCTTTTTAGTAGTATTTCTGCCTTGCGAAGCGTTTCATTTCTTCTCAGCGGACTTGTTTGTATTTTTTTTAAATGACAATGAACGACATGAATGTTCACTGATTTAGGTTGTGTGCTTTGATGTTCGTTTTTTTTTCAGGGTTAAGTCTTAAAAGTGGTTCAGGCTCATATTTGTATTTTAAAGGTTTGATGTTGATTTATTTTGAAAATTCCTGTTTCTACAATTGCGAGAGCAAGTGTTTCGTAATCGCGAATTTTTTCCATAAGACAACTTTTCTTACAAATTTGTAAGAATTTCATCAATTCTGTGACAGTGAATTCCCCGACATATTCTTTAATAGCGGGCTGCATTGGCAGGTTAATCGCTAGTGCTTGGATGTTCAGAGTATTGAGTAATAGTTTAGCGCAGTTCATGCTTTTTAATTCATCAAATCAACAGAAGTAAGCTAGTTGTTTAATACAACAGTACAAAAATAAAAACTCATTTTCAAAATTTTTTCAACTTCGTAACTTTCATGAAGCTTTTGAAATGCATAATTTTTACACAATTTGGCTTTAAAATTTCCACTTTAGATCATGGAAAGCTTGTGTGGTTGCCTTTAGTTAATTACATTCCAAATTATTGATGCATAATTTGCGTTTTTGTGCTCCCTTTTGCCGCTTTTTCGCTTGTCTTTGGTTACTATAAGCGTCAATGGCACCATTGTGTAGGGCAGTCAACTGGCAAACTTGGTTGTCCGAAGAGGTCATTTAATTTTTATAACTCATTACTTCTTTTGGCTCTTTTAAAGCTACTTCTTGGCGTTTTTGTTTGTGTTTGCGAAGTGCAGTCGCCTCATATCGTGTCGTTTCAAGGACGATAATGTTTCAATCGTTTGTGTTTTGTTGGGGATGCGAATCTTTAAAATTTCGAGTTTAGAAATTTTTGCACTCAAAATTTATTTACGACAGCTTTTTTAATAAAACAGTACAATAATGAAAAGTCTTTTTCAGAAAATGTTACTTTCAATTTAGTGGATTGCGCGAGTTTCGAGAGCATAAAACAGCTTGCAAATAAGGCTGTGAGATTTTATTTAGGCTGTGAAAACTTAGTTTAAGCGCAGTAAAATTAGTTTTGGAAGTGTTTTAGCGCTTTGGGTATATATATTTTTTAAAATTCTTTTTTATTACACTTGCAAAGCGAGTGTATTAGTACGAACTTTCTTTTTTCCCATCTAATTCGCAAATAATAGTGCCACTTTTGGGGCACCTTTAAAGCTTTTTCTTAACATGGGCTTTGACATTCGAATAGAAATAAGTTAACACAGTTGATGCTTTTATTTCGTCAAATGAACCGAAAGAAGTGATTTGTTTCAAACAACATAACAATAATGAAATTTTTTGAAATGCATAATTTATACCTAATTTCGCTTTATGCTTTGCGATTTGCTACATTCAAAGTTAGTGTGGATGCCTTAATTTTCTTATAATCCAAATTATTACTCTCAAAATTGAGTCTATTTGTATTTGGTGCCGCTTTTGCTGAATGGCATTGGCAATTTGTTAGCATATATAGCTGCTTTCTTCGTGACTTGTGTTTGTCGGTTGTTAAGCTTGAGAGCTGAGTGGATAGTGTGTGAGACTCAAAATATCTTGATTGCAGTAGGTCGCAGATCGAATCCTTGACCTAGCCGAGTTTTTGCTAATTCGATGCTTATTTATATTTTTTCTCCTTGCACTTTTTAAAGCTGCTTTTTGGTCGTGTCCTCGCAAGTGTTTGCGAAGCGCAGCTTCGCTTCTGTGTAAATATTTTTATTCTATTTTCTATCGAATATGCTTAAATTCTGGGGTTTTATCACACCAAGAATAAAAAACGACTCAATTTGAAAATAAGAAATTATTTTTCCTTAGTTTTTTAATAAATGGTTGGAAGTTTCTGTACTACTTGCACAGCAACCGGCTGTCCATGTGTTGCTTTATTTAAAAAAAAATAGTGTTATTTATATATTTTTTCGAAGCTTGATGAGACTATATCTTTGTTTGTGTCGCAGGTTGCCGCGTACTCTGGGATAAAGCGGAAGGCGGACTTCTTGAAGATGGAGCAGAAAATGAGTAAGAAGGGCTACGTGTGGCAGGGTTTTGTCGCTGACCTCGCTCTAATTGTGAACAACGCATTGATCGCATTTCAGGTAACCACTTGACCGTCACACCAAAAACTTAGCTTGCAGAGTCGGTTCCTTTTTTTCTTTGTCTCAAAAAACACCAACAACCATTTTTATTGACATGACAGTTTTAAGGGCTAGCATAGTTTATAAATAAAAAAATATTCTGAGTGAATTGTCTTCATGTTAAATTTAAATAAATGTCTAATCTTATTTTAAACAAATTTAAATAAATCGTTAAATCTTGATTAATAATTAGTTGCGGAGACTTGTTTGCCGTGTAAAGGTCTGATTTATATGTGATTTGTTTCAATTGATTGTTTCGACCATTGGCTTACAAAAAACTTGATTGGGAGATTGCTATAAAGATTTTTAAATTGTGATTAAGATTCTGAAAAGTCCTTTCAAAATAAGCTTGAATATTAGAATAAAAATGGCCCGAATATTTCCGTTTTTGAGTCTAATTTAAGGCGATGAGGAAAAAGTGGATCAAACTTGATTTTTTTTTCTATTTTTTCTCTTGTAATCCAAATCTTGAAGCCAAAGTTAAATCTTCCTCCTACCAAAAAAATCAGGAAAAAAATTTAAAATGTACTTTATATTTACTTACGATGATCACTGCGTTTTGTGCCATCCATGCATTAACATGCTCATCTTGTTGCTATAAAGGCATTAATTAACCTTGAACAAATATAATTTCTAAAAAAAAGTCAACCAGTAAAAATTCGATTTTCCTGTGTACAATGTAGTGTGCTTTTGTCGGGCTTAAAGTTGAATTTGTATTACAGCCAAGTAATAAAAAACAGGTCAATAAATTTGATATTAGCTTTTCGTGTTCTGTTGGACTTCTCTTGATTGATGTACCTAGAAAAATTGGTTTGGTGCATAAATGATTTAATTGACGGTGTTCGAGCGTGGATAATTTTGTTGCGACGATAATTTATTTTGGCCAAAACGAAGTGAGCTAGTTTTTTTTCTAGTATAGTGGAAGCTAATTTATTTGATTACCAAGAAATTCTTCTTTTTTTTTTGAAAACGTCAGAGAAACTTATTGCCTCATTTAGAAAGTACAAGTTAGCTATAGCAAAGATCATAACTTGTAACTGGAAAAATGAGAGAAATACTATTAAGTGCCCTCGTTCTTGAAGTGCCCTCAAGCGCTTAAATTCAAACAAAATTTTCGAAACAAAAGACAATGAAAGAATGGCATTTTAGCCGAAAGAAGCGAGTTACTTAGCCGGACTGAGACTGGAAAAGAAGGTGCTGAAGGCGTTTGAGAAGTTCCCTTTGATGACGAAACACTTCCGCTATATGAGAACACAGGCGGACGAGTTCATCTACGGAGAGGACGACGATGAAATCAGTCTGGCTAAGGTAAGCAAACAATCCCACCCCAACCATAAATGGTTGTCAACACCCCCCCCCCCCACCCTACAAACACACTTCACATAAGCATCAGTTTTAAGATGTAGCGAGACGAGTGGGTTGTTTTGCAATCATTTTCATAACAATCCAACATTGTGAGCCATTGGTTGGTAGGCCATTGGTGGGGGGGGGGGGGGTTTGAAATCTGAGAGTTGGGTCCCTAAAATACAGATAAGAAATGATGAATCTTTCATACTAGCATAGGGACACAACTGTTTTTATACCGGGAGATGCTGCGGAGTTTTGTTTGTTTGTTGATTGCTGAAACTAATTTTGATGCTTATAATGCAATTTATTTGGGTGTTGCTGTGAAGTGGCACTTATTGGTTTTAGGCACAATGGTAAATTTTTTTGGGCTCTTTTCCAGTTCCCCCCCCCCCCCCCCTCGTAAAATCACAAAATAAAGCTGCTCAAAAATTGTTCACGCGGCAATTTGCTTGTAAGAAATGTAAATTTTTGTTCACCTGCTCACGCTTGACACGTTTTGATGCAGTTTTTAATTTATAAAGTCATTTTAAATAGACTTTCATATATTGAAAAACATCAAAGGGGGACTGTAAAAGAGCCTTTTTTGCTGTAGAGAGTCAATTCACGAATATTAACTAATTTTATATTTACTTAGGTGAAGAGTAGCACACAAGAGAAGACGAAAAAGAAGAGTACATCTAAAAAGATAAAGGATAGCGATGAAGATGATGATGGCGATCAAAATGGAGACCACGAGGAGTCTGCCCGAGAAGAAGACACCGCCAAAGAAGAACCGAGAGAGGACGAAGATTTTGAACAGGTGAGTACCGCATAATGGGCTCATCTTTTGACAGTTTTTATTTTTTAGCAGATTCTTAGTCTACTGTGCAATAGCAAAGAATTTGTGACGCGCAATTTTTTAGAAGGTGTACGAAGTACTTGAATTATCTGCTTATATTAAAGCTCATGCGTAACAGTGCTGAATTGCTGAACTTTTTCTGAAAGGCTGAGTTTTTCAGTACAGGATTTTTGGTCTATTTTATACCATGAGAACATGTGGTGTGATAAAGATTTTAAGCATACTGTTTTTTCTTGTTAAGCTGAATCTACTTATGTGAACATTGTATTGTTTTACTCATTTCCATTTTTCAGTTTGGGTCAATTATTCAAGTATTGTTTGCAGGATAAACAATTTTTATTTGGGAGACAAATTTTTGTCCTCGAGTTTTTGTCCCTCAAGTTGTCTGTAAAAGGACCCCTTCTTTCCTTAAAATTCTAATCTCATTATCACCAACGAGCAAAACCCCAAAATATATTTGATCTGTCAAAAGAGATGTAAAATGGTACCAAAGCGGCTCTTTCTATAGCCATTGGGTTGAATCTACCGGAAGGGTATAACCGCCCCTTGTTTTAGCTATCACATGGTCATGTCCAATTTTTTAGGAGCAACAGCTGCTTTCAAAAGGCAATTCAAAATCTGCAGATGTTAAAACCGAGAGAAATGCAGGCATCGAAAATCCCAGTCAAGAACAGACAAAATCAAATAAAGATCGTCAGGAGGATGAAGATGTCAATCAAATTGAAAAAGAAGTTGAACAGAAATCATCAACACCAATAAGAGAGTCAAATATTGTAACAGACTTTCCTGAGAAAAGCAAAGATGAAAGCTCGATATCAGAAGAAACATCGCCCAAGAAGTCTAAAAAGTCCTCCGAAATTGGTGTTCAATCAAAGTCATCGCCGACGGAAGAAATTAAATCGAGTAGCAATACAAACCGATCACCTGAAAAGAGCGAAACGCTGCAGTCAAGTTCTAAAAGCCCGTCTCCAATAAAACCAGCCAGTGCTGGATTTGAAAACAAAAGCACACCTGAAATAAGCCCGGAAAAGGCTTCAAAGACTACCAGTCCGAAAAAGGAGGTGGTCGTGAAAAGCAGTCCTATCAACTTTTTCGTGGCCGATGAAAGTTTAGAATGTCTTCGCCTGTGTCAGAAAATATTCGATGAAATCGAGGGCAAAGCGTGCTACATTTGTTTCCGAAAACCCTACATGGTTAGTTTCCTTTGAATCTTTAAGCAAATTACCCTTGAGTTAATATTCATTAAGCGTCATTTACGGTTGTTTTTTTCCCTAGAAATTGCCCTTGACTGATTAATAATGCGCCATATAATTTATGAATGAATAATGCGCGATTAAGGAAATATTAGTTATAACTTCTTCAATAACGAATGTTGGTTCTTTTTAAGAACATTGATATTTTTTTCAGTCCAAGGAGTTCAAAAAAGTAGAAAGAAATTCAAACTTGGATCAAATTGGAGCTCAAATGCAATCAAAAGACTACTCGTGGAAGGATTTTCTCAATGACGTCGTTTGCATTATTAACAACTCACTTTATTTGTTCAAGGTAATTTCAAGCTAAATTGCAGAGCAGAAAGAAAAAAATGTGCGATGATTCATTTGTAATGTATACATGTAATGCAATAGAAGCATAGCGGAAATGTTCTATTTAGTCATCATTGTGGTGAAATAAGGGAGTCAGTCAAACTATTTCATCAATTTAATGCCTGAATTAGCGCTTTCATATTACCTATATGGATTGAATATACTTTTGAATTAAAAAAAAAGATAGCACGTTTTATCAATTAATTAGTTATGTTGTCATTTGTTGTATTGTTCTTAGAGTTACTTTGAATAATAGTAACGGTTAACTGGTCAAATCAAAGATTTTTGTATAAAATTAATCGTATAATGTGAGTATTTTTTCAGTAAAACTTAAATGCTGTGTAAATTTAATTGACAACGTGCATGATACAGTTTATTGAATCTTTTTCATTGATTACCTGCTATTTAACGTAAGATACGGCCGCAACAACCAAATTACTGGTTACTTTGAATTATTTTCAGCCAGAGAACGCGGTCCATAAAACAGCCCTGAAACTGGACGACAAAATGATAACCTACTTGCGTAATGTGCCAAGCATGAAAAAGACATATGAAGATCTTCGGAAACTGCAGCCACGTCTTATTGCTCCTGAAAAGGGATCAACGAGTGATGCAGAAAAAAGTACTCCCAAGAAGCCAGGTGTTGCGTCTGCGACGTTATTCGACGAGACAGTAGAGGCGACGCTGAAGTCAGTGGCGAAACGAGCAGCCGAGTCTTCTTCGTCAGCTGCAAAAAGTTTAGACGATGACTTAAATGGGTCGGACAGTGACCCGAAAATGCTGACAACCCGAACACTTGACAAAGATGAAATTCAGAAGTTGTGTTTGAATTTGTTCGCAGAAATTAAAGCTGACGAGAATCTGGTTTGTCTCAAGTACCTAACCAAGGTAAATTATCGAGAGATGCTTTCAAATTTATTTTTGTTGCAATCGCGTATTAAACATTCCCTAAAGAACTTGGAGCTCAAGGACCTGGAGTTCAAGTCCGACCGGGACCTTTTTTTTTAAAAAAAGGGAATTTTCTGCTTTCGGGCTATCGTGTGTTACCATTCCGAATGCCATTTCTTAAATCCCAGTGGTGGTAAATTGCTGCATACATTAATGCATCTATGCATTTTTGATTTGAATTCAAATTCATTTGCTATTAGTAAGGCAAAAATTGCTCTCCAATTGCGAAAGACAACATGGCGCAAAAAAACGTGATCGATTTTTAGTTTCGAAAGTGGTATTTAGTTTTTAGATTTCCAAGCCGATTAAAAATTTGCCTAAATTGTTCTTGAAATTCAAAGAGGTTTAATGCCATAAATTTTTTTCTTTGAAATTCGAAAGTTGAAATTTTTATAAAACAAGGTAGTTTTTCTGGTTTCTTTGCTTTCAGTGACTCTTTTTCAAATTTCTGCTGGATCGCAAATAGTGATCAGCTCAGCTTCGTCTCTCTTTTTAAATTTGTTGTTCCGACACCTTGCAATGAGACTGGAAGGAACTATAGCGCAGGGTGTTTTTTTTGTACGATTATGATACCTCCAAGAAATCGTGTAGGGGTCAAGTTTGGTACCGTATCAGAGTCTTTTTAGTCGTTATAGGGATTCCAAAACAAGTTTAACAATTTGAGCCAGTAGCTGTGCAACTAGCACCGAATATTCCGACCACAGTTATTTTTGAAACCAGTAGCGCCAATTTGAGTAGCTTGTTTTGCGCGTCGTTTGAGCCGATAAACTCGAGGTTGCCTAGAACTTTAGAAGTAGTTTTGTTTGACTGCAATTATTTTTGAAAATAACAAAAAGGAGCACTATTAAACTTTTTATTAATTTTTTAAATATTGTGTTCATTGATAAAAAAAGTTTTGTAGTGTTTGAAATGTGCTAAACTAAGCTGCAAAAGTTTTATTTCGAGAGTTACAACCTGATTGTTCCATAGCAAAATCGAGAGCTATTATCTTTACTTGCTCCCAATTAGACTATAAAACAAAAAAAATTTGAGCCGATTTTTCTCGACACTGAGAAAAGTTTACATAACATTAACTTTAATTTTTTATTTGTATCAATCGACTCGCGAAATGAAGACCTTTCATGTGATATATCAATTGACTCAATATAATGATTATTTGCGATACCTGACCCTGACCCTGACTTTGAATGTTAGGGGAAAAACTGAGACACACCCAAATGCAATGTTCATTGCAACTTGTCTTGGCCTAACCCTGGTCTGAATGTTTACATTTTCCAGACTACATGGAGGGTTAGATCAATTAAACGAGAGACTGAATTTTTAATTACATTTGCGAGCGTTTGTGTATTAGTACGAACCTTCTTTTTTTAAGCCTAACTTGCAAATAAAAGTGTTCACTTATTTGGTGGCAGTTTTGCTATAATCACGATCTGTAGCATTGGAAATTTCATAGCATCTGTTATCTGCTTTTTTGTGGCTAGTATTTGTGATTTATTAAGCATCACTGACTCAGTGGTTAGTGCGTGAGACTCATAATCTCTAGGTCGCAGATCGAAACCCAGACGTAGCCTAATTTTTAGCAATTCGAGGCTTGTTTCTACTTCTTATTGCACTTTACAGAGCTGTTTCTTGTCGTTTTCTCGCGTTGCAAAGCGCAGTTCAGTTTTTTCCAAAAACAGAAAAACATCAAAAACTCATAGCGGTCAGTCATTTTGAACATCTTTTTCAGTAATGAACGAATTGAGTACTCCTAAGCAAGGTAAACTCCACTATCGAACAGCAAAAGGGTAAAGGCCACGAAAAACCGTAAAGGCCACGAAGTGGCATAGATTTTCCCAGCGGAATAAAAGTTTTACTATTGATCTAGTTTTCCCAAATTGAGTTATATTTATCTAAAAAGTGTCTATCATAAATCGTTCTTGAAAGTCAAAGAGTTTTAAAAGCATATATATATTTTTTTGAATTTCGAAAGTTGAAGTTTTTCAAAAAAAAAAAAATTTTTTGTTTACTTTTTTATTAAGATACTTTAGTAGGATTTTTTTCTGTATCCTTGCTTCATTGACGCTTTTCCAACTGTCTTTTGGCTATGTTTACGGTATATTAATTGCTCAGTAGCCGCCTTTTTTTGTAGTGTAGAATGGATTTCAAAGAAACGATCGTTAGATTTGATGTGAGCAGCGCTGCGTTAATGAAGGGGAATTTTAATATTAGTGACTGGATCCGCACCATCTTAAATAAAATGAATAAATCACTCAATTGTATAATTTTTAGGACTCGGTGTGTCAAAATTTTGCCAAAAAGACCGACATTTTCAAGATTGAGAAGAAATTGTCCTCCCGACCAGGCTACATATGGGGCAAGTTTGTGAAAGACCTGGCAGCTGTCACCTATATTGCACTCAACCTATATCCGAAGGTAACTTTACATAGACGTTTTTTCTAAGTAAAAAAGAACCAAAATAGCCAAAACAATTTTACGCAACGTTCTGAGATGATTATGACACACCTAATTTGGGTACTTACTAGTGTTTCCTAAGTTGCTTCAAATAGAGATTTATAATTAGCAATATGGATGTTTGATGCAAAAAAAACGCATTGCATCATTGATTTTCCGAAGCGTTTCTGGCTAACTAGAAACTTTGAATCATGATTGGCAGGATTCGGGCGTGCATCAAGCGGGTGTGACTTTGAATTGGAAGCTGGAAACTTGTCTGAAGAAGTTCCCGGTTATGCTGAAGAAGTTCACCCGCACTAGAGATGACCCCCTGGATGCGAAGGATAAAGATGTTGCTTCGTCCTCGTGTGGACTCTCGACAGCTACTGGATTATCTGTTCAAAACGAAAATTTGGAAGTGTCGGATACACAACCGGAAGATCCTTCGGTAAAATTATATTTAAATTTTGAGTTTTATTTAGTTGAATTGATACTAATGTGTTGTATTTTTTTGTTAGTATGAAGGCAGGTTTGGAATGAAATATTGAAACATTAGTTCTAGTTATAAAATTAATGAAGTAATTACGAGCGGAGATTATTTCCAATTTGCATTAAACTACATCAAACGGCCTGAAATGGAGTCTCATCTATAAATGCCCCGCTTGAGGCAGACATCTGTTCAAATGGGATCCCTCTAACGTGATTGCTACCAAGACTACAATTTATTTTTTAAAAAAATTTATCGGCTATGGTTTTGAATATTCTTTGACTTCAAGCTGGCGTTTCTTCGTTTTAGGAGCTGGAGCAACCATCCCATAGAACAAACACCTCGGGCAATCATACAAATGATTCCAAATCTCAACCCGAAGAAGGCAATACTGATAAACAGAAATCTCCAAAACGTAACAAAACTTCGTCTAACGATTGCTTGAAAAGTGCAGAAAGTTCTGATAGGAAGAAACAAAAGTCTCAAAAGGAAGCTACCAGCTCAAAAGACGCAGGTGGGAAAAAAGTGCAATCAAACGTGAACAAAAGTGGTTTGGGCTTAGACGAGGACATTGAAATGGACGCGGAGAAGGCATCCTGTTTGTCCATTTTGCAGTCGATTAGAAACTCGGATGTTTTCACGTGTTTTGAAAACATGTCCAAAGTTAGTGGTTTTTCAATATATTAGCCAGCCAAAAGATTTACTTTTTACTAATTTGTTTCTGAATGATTTGCTTAGTGACTTTTTAAGCGGAAACCGTTTCAACAGTTTGCCTATTTTCTGAGTTATGTGTGCTGAAACAGTTTTCCGGATGAGAAAATGAACTGCTAGGCTAGGGTGTTCGCGAGGGCTTTAAAAAAGTTGTTTGAAAAAGAAAAATCCCAACTTTTTGAAAAAAAGTTTGGCGGCGATATTTGCAATCCTGAGTCGATCCTGGCCAAAAAAAAATAATTTGTGGGATATGTAGTGCGAGAATTCGATTAAGTGAAATTATGTTTGTTACAGGATTATATCGAGGAAATATCAGATTTCTCAACAATATCTTGGAACATGTCTCAAAGCGATTACACTGCCTGGAACTTCGTGCAGGACATCGCTGCCCTTGTGAATTGTGCAATGAGAATTTTCAAAGGGGTGGAGCCTGAGTTATACAGTGCGTCTATGCGACTGGACGTCAAGCTACTCTCACTTCTGTATAGTCAGCCGAAACTGAGAGATGAATACAAAAGATTGCGGTCGGTTAAAACGACCCAAATGTGGACGTCTCCAAAGCTCAAAAAATGGACAAGTGGAGAACAAAAAACATCATCGGCAAAGAAAACGAAAGAATCAGAAATTCCGAAAATGACAGTTTTGAATGATAGTTTGCGCAATGATTCGGGATTTTTTGACCATAACAAGACTTCACAAAACGAAAGCAATATTCTTGCAACTCCCAAGCCAAAGAAACCTTCTGATGAAAGTACGAAAAGCGATGGTGGTAATTCAACGCCCACTTCTGGGAGTACAAAAAATCCAGCAGCGCTGGCTCTCCTAACTCCTAAAGTTGAGACGGTCGAAGTTGACGAGGAAGTTGATATCTGTCAGAAGATATTTCTGGACATCAGATCTAAACACACTTTTCAAGTGTTCCAAAACGTCTCAGAAGTAAGTTTAGTGCTTTTCAATGAAGTTATTTGCAAATATTTCGGTTCAGATTTTTTTGGTGATATAGTATGCGCGTATTTGTCTTGCCTGTTTTTGTTTGATGTCGCGATAGAAAATTGGGAATCTTATTCGGTTTTCGAAACATGGCGCAAATATTGCTATTCAACTTCATTTTTCACAGTTTACAGCGCTGATTTTAAGTACCGGACAAAGGAACAAAGTTGGAAAATGAATACGCGTTTTTTTTTCAAGTTGAATTGGCATTTAAAAAAATGATGAGATTAAAAGCGCATTTACTTTTGCCAGAACTAATATTATGGCGTTACTTTTTTTCGCGAAATTCGGAACCAATATTTACTTTCAAAAATGGGTCACTGTTAGCTCTTTTTAGCCTATCGAAAATTGTGCTAAGCTTGTCTGGTGAGCTGTTGAGAAAATTTTATCGAAGTGAACCTGTTATATACTCTTAAAATAAAGAAAGTAAAATGTGCAAAAAAAAATTTTTGTTTATTTAGTAACAATGATGTCTTACAAAAATATACTTATTTATACAAATCTTTGGAGGTTATACTGTCTAAACTTTGCTAAGCTACATAAAAGACTAAATTTGATATCTTTTTCGGAACAGTTGATCCAGTATTTTAGCGCAATTTTTGATTGACGAAAAGAAATTCGAAAAACTCCGCTTTTTAGTAGAAATTTTGGGCTCGAATTGCGCAAAAAAATTGCTCCATTTAAATAGTGGCAAAATTCTTAAAACATTTCCTACTCGTCGTTTTTTAACTAATGTTGGTCGAATTTAAGAAAAACGCGTTTAGATTTTCCGATTTTGTTTTTTTTGTCCAGTCACTTTAAATTAGCACCGTTTTTCTCGCCGTGCAGTTACGAAATTTAAAATATTGCAAAAAAAACGTGATCGATTATTTTAATTAAATTTTTTGATGGAATAAAAAAGTGTCTATTGATCCAGTTTTTCAAATTGGGTTAAAGTTATCTAAAAAGTGTGTCATGAAAGCTTCTTGAAGTAGTTCAGATTCTTATATAGGTCGTGATGCTTTTTTTGTTTTTGTTTCTCGGGAAAAGTCTTAAAATTTGATCACGCTTATATTTACTGTTCGCGATTTGACTTTTGCTTTCTTTTTAACTTCAGCTCATTTTCTTTGGTGAAAGGAAGGCAAAAGTGATCAACTTCTAATTTGAAAAATGGATTTAAACTATCAGCTCCTAGGGAAATTTAAAAAATTACCTATTGTTTCAGTTTTCTCAAATTGGGTTAATTTTATCAAAAACTGTCAATAATAGTTCTAGAAATTCAGAGCTTAAAGGCCATCAATTTTTTTCTTCGACAATTGAGATTTGTTAAAAAAAAAACAAGTGAGTATTTTTTTTCTGTTCATGAAACTTTTCCATCTTTCTTTTGTGCATGCTTTTTTCGAAAAATCTTCAGTAATACATTCTTTTTAACTCGAGCACTTTGCTTGTATTATATTAAAGTCCTCTTTTTTCTGTGTATAATATATTACAGTCCTTTTTTGCAAAGTAAGAAGCACTTCCAACGATCAGTTTTGTGCAAGGCTGGTTAGCGTGTGTATCAAGTTCTTGTCTCCTCTTAGGTCCCGAATTACTCAGTTGTGAGCAAGCGAGTGGATTTGATGTCAATTGAGCGCCGCTTAGAAGAAACAGGCTATATATGGCAGAAATTCATCAGAGACGTGGCCACAATTGTAAATAACGCCACTTTTGCATTTGAGGTTAGTCCAATAATTCGCATAGTTCCCCTCAGTGTTGGGAAGTTCCATTTAGTAACCTGTTCAAGATGCTATTATGATCGTAACTTATTTAGGGTTGTTTTTGGGAGTTCTGAATGAGCGTTTTTGAACATCCCTGATAGGTAATATTTTTCGTTTATTTTATTGGATTTTGGTTAATTATTTTTACTAATGAATTTGATTTTGAATTTGAAATACTTCTGTTCAAGTTCTATTTATAAAACGTCATCTTTTTGGACACTAGTTTACGCTATTTGATTTGAAAAGAAACAAAGTGATGGACACATGAAACGGAACCAAAACGCGCCATATGATAATTAAGAAAAGAAATGAAAAGGATCTACTAAAAAATTGTCACCCCTATAGAAAATTTTGGTGGAGAATTTACAGTTAAAATGATGGTTTGATTCGGTAACTTTTAATGATGATCTTACCCGGTATCTTTTTAGAAATAAGCAAATCTTTACATTAAAAAAAGATAACACTAAAATGATTGCTTACATAATAATAGTTTGTATCAAATTTCACTTGATTGGTAACGTAGCAAAAGTAGACACATCGTTAGCCAATCAGAACCGAGAAAAGAAATCGGTTAGCGGGTTTCTTTTCTTATCTCGATTCTGATTGGCTTGCGACGTGTCTACATTAAGACATCTCTACTTTTTGACCGCACTTTTTTTGACTTCAGAGCTCTCACACTGTGCACAAAGCGGCTCTCAAACTGGATGCCAGAATGCTCCACCTGATGCAGAGACTTCCAATCATGAGGAGTCACTACGAGAAGACACGAAGCAAGACCTCGTCGGCACTGACATCGGAACCTGCTTCAAAAACACAATCCAGAGCCGAAAGTCCAGAGTCCATGAATATAGATCACTCACAGACATTGAATGCAACACCTGTTTTCATTCCAGAAATGAAAAAAGTTAAGAAGTCGCCTTGTAAGAAACCGAAGCTCGACGAAGAGAGCAAAGATTCCAGAAGTCCTAAATTGGAGTTGAGCAGTAAAAGTCCAAAGAAAACCCCAGGTGCTAAAAGTCCCTCCAAAGAACCCAAAAGATCCGAGAGTGATGATGTGTCAATTGAGTTCAATAAGCAAGTCAGTCTGAAGCTGGAAAGACTCGAAATTAAACCCGAAATGGAATCGCCAGTTAAGAGGAAAAGCAAAGACATGTCAACATCGTCGGAATTAACATCGGAGGAATCACTCGGAAACTCACAAAGTGATCGAGTTAAGCATCTACTGAAAACCGAATTTGCCAAGTCATCATTGGAAAGGGCAGTGGAAGTTACGAAAGATTCCAGCGAAGAAAAATCAAAAGATGGAGCATCGCAATTGAGGTCAGAATCGAAGCAGTCCGAAATAGAAGAAGGCGATTCTTCAAATTCAGATGCTGTGAAAAGTGCAGTTGGCGAATCAGTGTCATCAGCAAGCAGTCCGGCCAAAAGTCAAAAGAGTTCAACAATTAGGGCTGCTGTAAAAGTAGAGTGGAAGGAAGAAGTAAACGAGGAGGTGGACATTTGTGAGAAGATATTCCTCGACATCAGATCCAAGACATCTTTCGTATGTTTCGAAAACGTCGAATGTGTAAGTGCACTGAAAAGATAAATGATGTTAATTATTGAGACCAGTCTTTAAGAGTCCAGGAACGTGGTGAAGATTCTTTTTGGTCGTGATGATTCTGTTTGTTTTTTTTTCTGGAAAATTTGTTTACGCCCAAATTTGGCTTTTCGTTATTTTAAGTTCAGTTTATTTCCTTTGTTGAATGGAAGCCAAACTGCGAACAGCGAAAGTTTCGAGGTTACTGAAAAGGTATTCGAGTTCTAACTATCAATTTTCCCAGCAGAATAATAGTGTTACCTATTGATCCAGTTTTCTCAAATTGGGTTAATTTTATCAAAAAAGTGTCAATGAATAAATCATTCATTGTTTTGAAATTCAATTAGCTTTTAGGTCATCTATTTTTTTTAGAAATTCGAAAGCTGAGATTTTTTCAAAAAATCATGTGAGTATTTTTTCCTGTTTACTTGGGTTCATTGACTCTTTTCCAATTGCCTGTTGGCTATGTTATACGTTGACTGAGGTAAGAAATTTTGAAAGCCTTATCTGAAATTTGTGGAATTTTGAAAGAAGTTTCTAGTTTTGGCCATGATGATGGCGGTCTGTTCGTTTGGGTCTTTTGTTGTCTTTTTCGAGTTTTTTTAGATTGCTAGAAAAACAAAATGTTAGTCGCATGAAATGATGATACATAAAATCAGAAGCCCCAGAAAGAAAATCTGTAAGTATTCGAAATAATAGATCACAAGTCGTAACTGGTTTAGTTGTATCAAAATAATAAGTTGAGATAAAAATGGTATGCTGCCTGTTCATTTTTTCCTCTGATAATTCTGGCGGACTGTATAACTCTGGCGGCATATTTTTTGAAAGAAAAAACAGTGGTTTTTTAGGTATCGGCGTACTCTCAAGTGGCTAAGAGAGTAGACTTCTGTTCCATTGAGAGGAACATGTCCAAGCCAGGCTACATTTGGGCTCAATTCATACAAGACTTGGCCATCATAGTCAACAACGCCCAAACAGTATTCGACCACACCCATAAAGCATTCAAGGCCGCCACACGAATGGACCAGAAAATGAAACACATTATGCGCAATTTGCCCATTATGCTGGCCCACTACAATTCAGCGCGACAAGAAATGACAACTGGCGCGTCCTCTGCATGAGAAATGAAACAGAATAGATCAGCCCGAACGACAGTTGAGATTTAAAGCAAAACAAGTCAAAAACTATTTAGAAAACTGAATATGTGACAGAAAGAGCGACGATAGATGGGTTAAAAGGGAAGAAAAACTTCAAACTGAAACTAGTCGATGTTATTTATTTTTGTTATGGCAGTTAGTGGTGAATATTTAAGTTAAAAATCTGAGAACTCAAAATTCTAGCTCAGCACTTTCATCATAAAACAGCAGTTATTTATTCACCTGACGGTGACGGTCAAATATGAGTTATTGAACATTGATATTTATAAATTATGAATTCTGAAAAATGTTGTAATCGATGCGAATCATGATTCTATCAACCATGATAATTATGTACACATTTATCGTGACTTGCTGAAGCAGCTATGTTAAAAATTGTTAGATCAAATTGGAATTCAATTTCTGTTTTGTATTTTTGAAAAACAGAAATTTAAATTTTTTATGCGCTAGTTAGAGGTGTAGGATGGTGCTTTTGTACTTTTAACGTCACGATATGTTTTAAAAAACTGGTTTCATTCTGGTTGCGAAATGGTATGTATGCAGGAACAGTTTTATTCAAAATGTCCTATGTTTGCAACAAGGGGTTGTCTGCGTTATAAGTCGTTTCTTTTTAAGTTCAGATCGTTTCCTTTGTTAAAAGGAAATTAAACTCCACTATGGAACGGCGAAAGTGTAAAGGTTGCAAAAAACGTGTTCGTCTTCTACTTTCGGAAGTTGATTCTGTTTTCTCACAAGTGTCGGAACCTAAGTCGGAAATATTAGTGCCAAATTTGGTGACCTTTTCAAAGCAGGAGGGTTTATACATTTGGTTCACTTTCAAAGCAGGAGTCATTTAATAGCCTGCTTGTTGACAATTGATTATTAATAAGTTAGCTCAGTTGATGCATTTTTTAAAAGCGTCAATGGCGCAATTTTGTAGGGCAGTTGACTGTAAAACTTGTATGTCCGAGCACAGGTTTTTTACCGGAGGATCTACTTTTTTAAACCGTTTTGGACATTTTTTTTCGCTAGTGAATTCGAAGTGCAGCGCTCTATCTATGTTAAAATTCCGTTTCGGAAAATTTCTAAATCAGTGCATATCGCAAAATTTTTAGTTGTTTTATGTTTAAATATTTTGGCTTTTTGCATTCAATTTTATTACATGTTAAGTTACTGTGGTTTCTTTCAGCTTATTATATTTCAAGTTCTCCCTGCTATACTTGCCTATGCAACAAAATGTGCATTAAGTCAAAAACTTTTCATGTTTTTGGTCTTTTAAAGCTCAAATATGCTGCTCCCTCACTTGTGTCCGAGTTGTAGATTTGCTTCTCAGTTAAAAAGGGTTCAATCGACTACTAAAACGACGTTGGATGTCAAAAAAACTTGCGTAAAAGTTAAAGTTTATGTGTGCGGGTGTGTGTGTATATGCATGTGTACGACGTGTATGTGTATGCACGCGGGTGTGTGTGGAAGTGTATGTGTGAGTGCGTGTACTTCTTAAGAGTACATGTGCGTGCGAGGTTGCGTATCTGAGCATTTATGTCAAATTTGTAAACTAACGAATACTGATAAGATATTTTTTATGTTTTTGCGTCGGTTTTACTTATTATAAACATTTCTGCTGAAGAGTAATTGGCTTCGTCAAATAATATTGCCTTTTTCGAAAAAATTATCGAGTGCGCGTGATCTTATGCGCGTACGTGTAGGCGAGACACGTGCGTGCACGTTCGCGTGAGAAATTTTTTGCTTATGTGTGTGTGCTGGTTTGTGTATGCGTTAATGTGGGTGTTTTTTTATAATTTTCTATAAAATTAAACAAAATAACAAAAAATTCGGAATGCAGGGGAGAATGGAAAATATTCGATTTTGTTTATGGCTTATTAAATATTTTTAAACCAACGTGGTAGAAAAATGTGCTTCTTTAGGTAGTTATTTTTTCTGCTTTTCTGAATTGTCAGATTTATTTTCCATTTTTACCCCTGCGATAAACAAGGTTTTTGCGACCTAGACGTTTTTCGCCGCAAAACTTTGTATCGAGAAGTGTTTTTGTTTTTGGTCTTTTAAAGCTCAAATATGCTGCTCCCTCACTTGTGTCCGAGTTGTAGATTTGCTTCTCAGTTAAAAAGGGTTCAATCGACTACTAAAACGACGTTGGATGTCAAAAAAACTTGCGTAAAAGTTAAAGTTTATGTGTGCGGGTGTGTGTGTATGTGCATGTGTACGACGTGTATGTGTATGCACGCGGGTGTGTGAGGAAGTGTATGTGTGAGTGCGTGTACTTCTTAAGAGTACATGTGCGTGCGAGGTTGCGTATCTGAGCATTTATGTCAAATTTGTAAACTAACGAATACTGATAAGATATTTTTTATGTTTTTGCGTCGGTTTTACTTATTATAAACATTTCTGCTGAAGAGTAATTGGCTTCGTCAAATAATATTGCCTTTTTCGAAAAAATTATCGAGTGCGCGTGATCTTATGCGCGTACGTGTAGGCGAGACACGTGCGTGCACGTTCGCGTGAGAAATTTTTTGCTTATGTGTGTGTGCTGGTTTGTGTATGCGTTAATGTGGGTGTTTTTTTATAATTTTCTATAAAATTAAACAAAATAACAAAAAATTCGGAATGCAGGGGAGAATGGAAAATATTCGATTTTGTTTATGGCTTATTAAATATTTTTAAACCAACGTGGTAGAAAAATGTGCTTCTTTAGGTAGTTATTTTTTCTGCTTTTCTGAATTGTCAGATTT